CACAACTTTAGAATCCCTTACACTCACCTCTTCAAACGAAATGAAAGGTACTCCAACATTAATTTATTTATTCGGTCTAAATCGAATCTTGCTCTGTGTTTACTTTCGCGGAAGGCAATGGCATTGCCCATTTTTTTTACTAAGTGTGATGTCTTAATGCTTGTTTTTCTGAGTTCTGAGATGTATTTATCTGCCACTAATCGGCCAAGATCCCCGCTCGATTTTAGCTTTTATGTGATAATACATATTATTCAGCTCTTCAGTAAAACTTGATGGATGGAAGCGAACACTGAAGTAACCATTTTTTCATGCATGGTTTACTTCTGATTTTAAGAAAAAAATTTGGTGACTGCTACTTTTAATCGTTAAGTTTACCTGCATGGTATTTAGCTTCAAAGTAAATTCTCATTCATATTTAGTAGGTTTCGAGGCTAACGCTAGCTTGTCTCAACCTTCTTCTTTTTATTCAATATTTAGTATATATATATAGTACAATATATTTCTATTTAAAACTTTATTTTAAATCTCGTTACAGATTCTTGAGTTGGCTCAAGATACTGGTCTTGAGCCTGTGGCTGAAGAGGATGAGGAAGAAGAAGAGAATGATGATGAAGAGGAGCCTGATGATGAAGAGAAGAGGAAGCGATTACGTAGACAGTCACTGATGCATTGAAAATGGGCAGTGATAAACAAATTGTTCTTATCCACAATTATCCCTTTGCTGGCTTTTGCACAAGGATTGTTGGATAACCACTAAAACCAGCGTTGTATTCTTTTGATCTTTTGGTGGACCAAATTTAGCTGTGATAGTTGTCTGAATCGGGAGCTTTATCTTATTATTAAATGATCTTCAGACGATATAGCATTTCATCGAATCTCAACTACTCATTTTCTCATAACTTATCTTACTCGCATCACTCCATTTCACTCTCATAGACATGCCCTCTTTCAACTCTCCTACTTAGACTGACGTAGTATTCAATCATCTCTCTTCTGTCAACTAAATGATATACTTTCCCGGAATAATCCGAAGACTCACATCCACTTGTGTTACCCTTGGCTAACGTCGTTTGTTAACAAATACTCTGACCCTCATAAATATGTCCATAAATAACATGTCTGCTTTTCCATACAATGTGGAGAATCGCGATTTTGAATCCTCTCTACACAGTTCATCATTTCTTTTATTCATAAATTACCTCATCCTGCAGGCGTTCAATTGAGCTTCTCATGTCCCTTTTTATTTTTTTACGTTCTCCAATCACTTATTTCCCTTCCATATTTCCATACCTCTCAGCTTTTATAACCAACATGCAAAGGTTTTCGTTTGGTCTATTTGTCTTTCGTATATACTCTTATTGAACTGTTTCTTATATCTAATGTTCAAATTACTCTCCAAACATGATGACATTGTATACCCAACTAATTTTGCTCTGATTACGTTTCAACACTTCTTTATAGACGAAGCATGAATCTCCTTCTTCTCGATACAATCGACTACATGCTCCTCCATTCGGAGGTTAAATTTACACTTTTATTAGCTCACATGCACTTATTTTGATGCATTAATGTACAACTGGAAGTATAGGAAAATTGTACTTTATGAGAAGCGAAACTACGCATGCATATACAACTCTTCTCAGGGCTAACATTTAAAATTTTTCATTGTAGTTTTATGCCAGTTAATCTGATTTCATCCCAGACCAGTCTGTTAGATCTTATTTCTATTCAAGCCTGTATTTTGACTATGCTTGTATGTCTTTATTTCTCTATGCATGTATCTTTCTCTTATCTGTTTTGTCCGTACCTTTTTGTATGTTTTCTGCTCCTATCTTATTTTTCGCAAAATGCCAGTTTGTATTTATCTCTTCTAAGTTTTATATCACTGTACCTCCGGATTTGCATTACTTGATCTACATACTGGTTTCTTTGCAAGCACACATGCTTACATGGACCCGTTCTTATCTTGTTAAAAGCTTTAACACTATTCGATGTTACCCGGGATTGAGTTTACTCTCATTTGCGGGTGGCATCTTTCCCTAAACTCTGTGTTCGGCCT